GATCCCTGCTGTGGGATCTGCCAGGGCAGAGTGATCCCTGCTGTGGGGTTTGCCAGGGCAGAGTGATCCCTGCTGTGGGGTCTGCCAGGGCAGTGCACGAGGAGAGCAGCAGGTGGTTGGTTCTGGTTGGGTGTCACTGAGCAAGGAAGCCATAGATCCCCCTCACCATCGCTGGGGGCACTACCTGGTGCAGTGTTTGTCCCCCAGCTGCACAGCAGGGCACGGGTTGTGCTGTGGCTCAGCTCTTTGATCCCATCACCCCTTAGTGCTCCCATCCCATGGGGCAAAAACACGTAGTCTCCGTGTGACAAGTGGGGCAGAAGTGCCTCCTCTACCCATTCCTGTTTGCAAAGCCCTCTGAGACTTCACAGCGTTTGGGGCAGGCAGGGATTTCGTTTTCAGCTCTCTGGTCACACACACCTATTATCTGGTTTCCCGTAGCCTTTGAATGACCACTCATTTTCCACGGGGGGTGAAATAAGCGGGTGTTCGACTTCCTCGGGCCGCTGTGCTGCTTGTCGAGGATCCCATCTTGATGAGTCTCACCTAGAAAACAATGTGTGTGCACAAGTTGTTGTTGCAGCCCCCCGCCGGGTCCCAGTGGGGCAGAATTCCTCGCAATAATGGCTTTTGCATGTGGCCCGGTCCCCGCGCGGGCTCCTCGGGACAGCATTGTTCGGAGGAAGCCTTGCCTGCGTCTGAATAGCGCTGGGGGTGCCAGGAGGAAGAGAGGAGGAAAGGGAAATGGGGGAGCTGCTGGTTTGTGTCGCATCCATATCAGATGACAGGAAGTGGGGATGGAGGGTGGCCGCGGGATCTGCGCGGGGCCACGGCTGTGCCAGCACCCCCCGGCTCTGCACGGCCCACGGGGTTGCCATAGCAAAGCTTTTTGCGTGGTCTCACTTCTTTTTTTATTAAGGCTTCGGGTTTTCCGTGGCTGGTCTTCCTTCAGTACTGAAGTCCTGGAGAACTGCTTGTCAAGTTACTGTTAATGCCATCAATATTTTAGCAATACAAATCATAGTCACAGCCTGAAACATTTAGTTGTACAAGAACTCTGAGCTGTTCCATGGAGAGTAGGTGACCTGCAGTTGTAGAATTGCAATTGCAAATTGCATTTGCATCCTCTTCAATCTAAATAAAATAGATGACACAAGTTGCTTCTAGACTCTTAATGAAGTTTGTTTTCAAGGAGCAACTACCACCTCCCTGCTAAGAAAGCGTTATTTGAATGCAGAGATTCTCAGAAGAAAACAAACCACGAAGAATTCCTTTTGGCAGGACAGCTGCAGGGTTTTGTTGGTGCTAAACAGAACACAGGGGAGAATCCTCCTTGCCTTTCCCCTGCCTCTGTAATGGCCAGAAGGGGAACAGCATTCTGGTGATAGGGACTTTATTTCCATCCCGCTGAAATTCCAAGGCCTTTTTTCAGCAGTATGTTTACAGAAGCAAACCTGAGGTGCACTTCCATATTTTGGAGGCTCTGGAAGTTCAACATGTGGGGGGTTTTTTTATACATCACGTCTCCAAAGTTGTTTTTTTCACGTGTGCGTCTGTAACTGCGTGTTGGGAGCCTGAGGTGGAACTTGGCTGCTGTGTAACCATCGCCTTTTTTTTCTTGCTCTTTTCTGTCCCACTTGCCTTCTGAGCACAGACTGAGGGTTCCTAGGCTTCTTGGAAGACCATGCACTTCACGTGTATTCTGAAGGATGTAGGAAGCCTCCCATAAGCAATTCCAGTGTGTGTGCTCTCCTGGGAGACAGCCTGGCCCTCCCGCGCTGCTCGTCTGTGCACACGCTGCACCTTCACCTCTTTAAAAGTGCACATCCTGAATGTCCACTGAGACCCATCCTGTGGGATGACTCACATTCCTGGAACTTTCTTGCCTGGCTCCTGAAGCTTAACAAAGGGCTAAAGCCCTTTTCAGACATCCTATCAGACTTTATTAGGAAAAATGCTGTCTGCCCTTCCCATCTGGACTGTCCCTGGAGTTGCCTGGTGCACTTGGCTGGCTTGGGCCACTACTGAGCATTCATGTCTGGACATGGGAGGTTTCATCCAGTGCCTGGTGCTCCATGGGCACGTGGTGTTATCCTGGTAGGCTTTCAGAGCACTGAGTGTTACCTTAAACACTGAAAATTGGGCTTAGACTACTTGGCTGTCTAACAAACGCTGTACAGCTCTTGGGAGATGAGTCCTGACTAAGACACCCTTAATAAACAATTAAATAACTCTTAAATGCCAGGGATGGGGTCAGGCAGTGAAGTAGCAACTTTCCTCCCAGGTCAGCCAGTGTTGTTAAACACTTCAGTCCCAAGGAAACAAAAAAGCTGCAAAGAACTTTCAGGATCAGATGTGGCCGAAACAACAAATGTGCTCCTTGTTTTAAGTTGCTCCATGCACTAGATACTAAGCAGACAGATTTACCCTGGCTTTCCCCAGTTTTATTGGAAACAGCACACAATCCCCACTGGATGGCAGGAAGATAATTGGCTAAAAAAGTGTCTGACTTCCATGAGCCTGTCACTGAAAAGCTGTCTGAGCCAGAAGCACTGGCAGATTTAGCCTGGATGATAGTGAGGGCTGTCTGGTGCCCTTTTTTTTTTTTTTTGAGATGTAATGGCAATTCCTAGTTTGTTCTGTTTATTCTTCTGTCTTCCTGCTTCCCCAGCTCTGCCAGGCAAGTGTGGTTGCCTGTCTGTGTGCCCTGGCCATGTCCTTGTCTGTGCACTGGTATTCCTTGGCACAGGGAAGGGATGGGACTGGCACTGCTTGTACAGGGAGTGGGAGGGCAGCAGGAATAGCAGGACCCTGAGGGACTCAAGTGCTGTGGACTGTGGGCTTGGAATACTTGTTCTGGTAGAGGAATTCAGGGGATGGAGCTTCAGGTGGTTACATCAGGGCTAGAGGGGGGGAGGCATAGTGGTTATGCTTCAAAGTAGGTGTGATTTAGAGAAGCAGAAGACAAAACCCTCCCAGACCCTCAGGAGCCATTGCATAATTGCCCAAAAGCCAGCTATTAATAGATGTTCTGTGTGCCCTTCAGCTGGCTCTGCTGGGAGGCAGCTTTGTGCCTTGGGGTTTTGGAGAGGCACTGATAACACCACTCAGAGCTCTGGATGCTGAGAGGTGCTGTGCAGGGCACCCCCCTCTGCAGGGATTTGGGAATACGTGTATGACGCAGCTGAACAGCTTCTGTGACCGAGTGTGAACTGTGTGTGTTGGGGGTTCCTCTTTATCTCCTCACTTCCAGTGATAAAAGATGTCATGAATGTCTTTTCTCCCTTTCAGATACCACCTTCTGAAACTCCTTCAGAAGTTTGGCAAAGTAAAGCAATTTGACTTCCTCTTTCACAAGTCTGGTGCTCTGGAAGGGCAGCCAAGGGGTTACTGTTTTGTGAACTTTGAAACCAAACAGGTAAGTTGCTTTTATCTAAAGTTCTGATGGTTTCTTTCCCCTCCTTTTTTTTTTTAAAATATTAATTTAGAGCTACAGCAGGAAGGGATAAATTCAATACCTTGTCTGCCCAAACCCCATGGACTCTGACAGCTCCACTCTGTCACAGCCACTTTGTGACTGCTCCTGGAAGTAACAAATACCGATTTCCTTTCTCCTCTGTGGTCTTTCCCTGAGTCCTGCTTTCTAATGCTTCTCAGAAAGGGGCAGTTCTTTGGCCCACTTTTGCAGTGAGCTCATGGAGTTGCACTGTGGACACGATCCACACCTTGAACCAGCCTGCCAGCCCACCTGAAATCCAGAACTGCTCTGGAGTCGTCCTGGTTTTAATTTTGGCTTCATGAAAGCACAAACCCCAGCTTATACAACATGACACATCTGCAGCATCCTGGAGTGAGCTGCCCTTAACTGTCCATTTGGGCTTTTAACTCGTTACAAATCAAAATTTCAAGTCATACTCCCCAACAACATCAGAGTTGTAGTTGTTTTGTCACAATTCTGCTGGAATTGTCCAAAAGTTAGGAAGAAGAGCATGTTTGGAGGTTGCTTGTGGCTGTATGACCTCAGTTGCTGACAAGGATGTCAGAAGACCCCTGACACTCTGGATTAGCTCTAGAAAATTATTCATAGCAAGGTGGAACAGCATTGCAACATAAATCTTCAGCTGCTGTGAGTCAGGTTTTATGGGAGTGTCCCAAAGCTGCTGAGAACAGGACTGAGTGGATCATGTCCCCAGTACCCACAAACAGGATCTGGAATGAGCATAGATAGGTGTTAATGAAACACATGTAATCACTGTAAAGAGCCACAGTATTTTCTCCTGTAGCATAAACCTCCCTCTGAATGCTGTATTTCCCCCATTTCCTCCCCCCAAACAAGTCTAAGGATAAAGCAGTAATGCTGCTAAGTCTCTTTACTCAGATGTTGGGGTCTTCCAAAGGTATCCCTGGGCTGGGCTACAACGGGGTGGACTCTCTTTGCCCTCAGAGAGAGGCACTTACAGTGGGCTGGTTAACGAAGAAAAAAATCTCTGTGCACGTGAGTCGGTTTTGACTAAAGGCTCGGTTTGTTTATGGAACTGTCTTCCTGTGCAGGAAGCAGAGAAGGCGATCCAGTGTCTCAATGGGAAGCTGGCCCTTTCCAAGAAGCTGGTGGTGCGGTGGGCACACGCACAGGTCAAGGTGAGTGGCTCCTGCAGAGAAGAGCTGCTTCTGCTTTGCAAGACCGAAACACTTGAACGTTAAGGAGCAATTCTTATCAGAGGTGTATTGGACTGGCAGGGCAATTTCACTGTGTTCTGGGAAATAACTTGTGGAGTTGATGTTAACAATGTACAGCTTCTCTTTTGTACCACACTGTGCTGGATTAGCCGTGGGTGAGGACAGGCCCTTTAGCCTAGTGTTCTTTGTGAGGGGATTTCTGATCAGAGCAGTGTGAACACATTACTTCTATAAATGTCCATGTTTCACTCTTCCCAAACTTCATGAGTAATTGGCTGGAAGTTTGAATCCTTCCCATTGTGGTTTTGCTCCCTTTTGGGATAGCAGAGGTATGGAAATTCCCAATTACCGGTAACTGTGTTACTTTGTTTCACTTCTGAAAGCACTTATGTGGCAGGAGCTTTAATTAGTTTTGACTTTAAAGTAACATATTTCACGTCTAAGCTAAATATCCTTTTATTACTCACTCTGCCACATAAACAATCCAGTTTTTAACTTAGTACCTTCTGGAACACCCTTGTTTTAATTTTTTTTTAATTCTCTTTTCTCCTACAGTTATTTATTATCTCATATTTGATAAAGCAGTTCATTTTTAATAAATTTCTTTGAAGATAAACCAATTTTGGGGGAGGCAGAGGAGAACTGTTTGTTGCTATGTTCCTTTGGGGAGTTTCCTTTTAGCACATGTTGATTATCCTACAAGCAGCTTTCTACTCTCTCCTATCAAATGTGTTAGTGCATCTGTTTTGGATGCTAAAAAAACCAAACCAGGTATCTTCCTGGGAGGAAACCATTTTGTTTTAATTATTGACTTCAAGGGCTCTTGTCAGCACATCCAAGCTGGTGCAAATCCTGTCTCCATTTTCTGTAGCTCCTGGAGTGCCACGTGCTTCCGGATGCCTGGGGAATGATCAGGCCATAAAAGGAGTTTGAGGAGTGAGTGTCTGCTCAGCTGGAGCTGAGCTGGGCAGCTCTGGGCCTGGCTGGCCAGGCTCTGGGGAGGAACATGCCTAAATAATCACTTTGGTGCACATGGCATTTTCTAATCCCTCCGTGGAAAGATTTAACAGCACAAAACTTGGGCTTATTGTAACAAGTGTTTGTTTTAGACGAGATCAGCACGAGACAGGCAGTTTTGAGATGAGTGGCCAAGGCTCACCAGACACTGTCGGTTTGAGCAGCTCTGCTGAAAACCAAACCTGACTCTGTGCCAAGCGAAATAAGGAAGCAGAACACTGCAAATAGTTCAGGAGGCCCGTTGCCCACAGAGATGACAGACTCACAAGCTGCTTTCCACAGAAAAGAGGTGGTTCCTAACTGGTCTTTTTTATTTTTTCCCCCTTCTTTCCTCCCAGCCCCGCCTGATTCCGTGCACTCGTGTGCTTGGGTCACCTTCTGGCTCTGCACATGAAGAGCAGAGCAAGCAGAACAGTAGTTACCTTAAGATTTACCATCTTTGCTTCCTGCCTTATGTAGAGGGGAACAAGAAGTGACAGGATAAGGTTTAAGGATCCATAGTACAACGCACATAACTGGTATCAGAGTCTACATTCCCTGCTGGTACAAACCAAACATTGTAGTTGGGCTTTGTTTCTGTGCTTGGCCACTCAAATCCTTCCTAGCCAAAGCTTCACAAACCCCGAGGTGATGTTAATCCAGCTTTAAAGTGTACCTGTGGGGAAATGTTTCTTTGTTCCTGATTCCAGCTGGCTCAGTCCCTGCTCTCTTCCTTGCAGAGATATGATCACAACAAGAACGAGAAGATCCTTCCAATCAGTCTGGAGCCGTCGTCCAGCACGGAGCCACCCCAGTCTAACCTAAGGTAGGAGGTGGGGTGGGTGAGAGGTGACCCAGCTGTGGGGCTGGCAGGGAACCAACTTCTTCCATTTCAGTAAGATTAAGATTTAGAGCTGTTGGCATTGTTTGTGCTAAAATTCTAATGTGGCAGAAGAGCTGGTTTTTTGGAAAGGCAGCTGCTGTGAGGTAACTCATTTAATGTGGGACATTTTAGACTGGAAGTTTATTTTCCAACACGCAAAGCTACTTGGACAGTGGGAAGGAAAAGAGATGAGGAGAGGAATTGGGAATGTGTAGCATTCCAGCTCCTTTGGCCAGAATATGCTTTGGACTTCATGTGGATTTCAGTGAGGGGGTTTGTGCTGGACTGATTTGTTTCAGCAAAATGCTTATGAGCAGAAATTTCTACTGTAGTGGCAGAAGATTAAAACAAAGTCACAAGTAGTACTTAACATAAAACTAATTTATTTTATTTGTTTTTTCTGGTGTTAGGGCTGTAAGTCTTTGTCTGTGGGATGTGATAAATTCCAACCCTTGCATTTACCTAAAACACATAGTGCTGCTTTGCTAGTTCTCAGTATGGCTGAGAGAGTGTGTGGTTTTCCTCTGTGTTGTGTCAGTGGAACCCTGTAAGGAACCAGGACCAGATTAATGCATTAGCCTTCAGATAAAATGAGTTTGGAATTAAGAAGTAACAGGCTAGGAAGCAAGGAGCAGAGGGGTTTGAGTCATGCAGATTGCTGGCTGCATCAGTGGCACAAAGGGGTTGTTCTAGTGAGGATGGATGGTGCAAGAAGCCACAGCGGGGAAGGGAACATTGCTCAGTCCATATCCAACAGAGGATACTGAATAACAAAAGTCCTAGGAATTTGGGGTGTAACCTAGGATAGCTTCTCCCTTTGGGATAAACCCTGCTAATGCTGAAATAATGTTTCTTCCTGACCTAATTAGAGTCTGGGGTTTTCCCATCCCGAGCAGGCTGTAGCTGGGAGGAAGTCTGGCTTTCATTTCTGTGCTGTTCCCAGCAGCCTGCTCGGGGCTGTGCTCTGCTGCACATGCTCAGACCTCCTGAAGTGACATCATTTCACATGGAGTAGGAAGCCTTGTCGTGTTCTTGCCTCAGCGTCCTCAAGAAAGTGCTGAGTAGGTGCAGGGGCCGTTACTTTCTGGTGCTGTGATGTATCTTGGAGGAGCAAATCCGTGCTGAGGGTTGAAGTGCAGCAGTGTGGGCTCTGAGCAGTGTGTTCCTGCCTCGCTGAGGATGCAGCAGTGGGGCTGCCTGGCCCCTCCTCGTGTGATGAGTATTCGTGTGTCAGCAAAATCTCTAGATTGCTGTAGTCTGATTTCATGCTAAGATCAAGCTCAATCTCTCTTCTGCTTTTTCTCTTTCCAGTGTCAGTGCAAAAATAAAGGCCATTGAAGCCAAGCTGAAAATGATGGCAGAAAACCCCGACGCAGAATATCCTGCAGCACCCGTTTATTCTTACTTCAAACCACCCGATAAGAAAAGGACTACTCCTTACTCCAGAGCTGCCTGGAAATCCAGAAGATGATGCTTTAGGAGCGAGTGATGGTAGCAAGAAACACTGCTTTGTATACGTGGAGTGCTCCAGTGCTTTTGTACTTTGTAGAGTGGGAAGGACGCTGCCACCTGAGCAGGGCACGGCTGGCCAGACACAGCCTGGCCCACCTGAGGGGCCACAGCCCCTGCCAGAGCAGCTCACAGCTGAAGGCTGTTCAGAGAAGTAGGTTCCCTCAAAGCCTGTGATGAACACGCAGACAACCTCTCGTTAGCGTGCATTCATTAGCCAGATTAGAAACAGTAACCAGCGTACGGAGCAAAGCACATCCAAAAATACTCCATTTAACTGATTACTTTTTAAGTATTTTTGAACAAAAAGTATTCCGGTTCATGTTTTAATGGAGGGGAAGCACTTGGTTTTGATTAACATGCTGTAGTTACCATGGAAAACTTTTTCATCTCAATAAAACTCATTTTAAATAGATTTTGCAACACTTCTAGTGACTGTGCATGCAATATTTTATATGCACCAGAGCCAGTTGATTTTGCATTTTGATTTGCAGACTTCACAATGTTACTTTAGGATGTGATATCCTTAGGCTAATGACACAGCACAGGTATTTTCAGTGTCATTTAGGTTGTAGGTGTGTGCCTCTGTGTAGGAATTGGTGTATTTACACGCCACTGATGTGCTGTGCCCTGAGCTTCAGAGTTTGTGTTCAGTGATCCCCATCAGTGGTAGCTCCTCCTGAGCCAGATGTGACAACATGAGAGTAACTGCAGCCTCTGAGACACCTGCCAAGCCCGTGACCTCAGTGTTTGCCCCCTGCCCAGCCCAGCTTTGGTTTCCACTGGCTGGTAAAGGTGGTCAGCTGCCCCTTGGTGTGTTTGTGGTGAACTGGTTCTGCTGTTAGCTGGGATTCCCTGCCCCAGGGACTGAAGCCACAGGTCTGATGGATGGCTCTGGATCTGATCTGCAGCCCATTTACTCCCTAAATATCTGCAAAATAGAAGTCTGAGGAAAAAAAAAAACAAAACATTTTCCTTTGTGCATACAGTGCTGTGAGTGTGTGTGCCAGGGGGATGTCAGAGAACACGTGCTGGGGTCCAGGTGACACTGATCTCATTTTCCAGTGTGTGCTCTCCCTGCTCCCATCAGACCTCGCTGATCACTCCGGAGTTGCTTCCCCAGTCTGGTTAATGGTGGTCTCAAACAAGGGGGGGGAGACAGTTTTTAAAGGAGCCTCGGTTTGTGCACGCAGGAGCTGCTCAGTGGCACAGCCCAGGGAGGTTTGTATTCCCTCAGCAGCACGCCTCCCTCCAGGCAGAGCACGCTTCCTGCTTCCCAACCCAGCACCTGGAGCGGAGCCGTGCGTGTCTGGTGGAGTGACTGTTGAAAGATGAATTGTTCAGAAGTAGGTCTCATGCTGATAGTGTTTGCCTCCTAGTTTTTGGGTACCTGACTAAAGGGAAAAGTCATATCCTTGGGAGTTTGTACCCCTCTGAGTGTCAGGAACACCGGTTTACATTCCTCTGTGAACAGCCTGTGTTTGTTCCTGTGTGCTCCAACATTTGTAGCTCTCTGGGTCTGTATCTGCATTGTTTAGAAGAGCTCTCAATTCTGTTCCCATCAGGAATTTAGAAAATACCTGGATTCAAAGCAGGTGTGTGGTTGTGCTCCCGTCAGAAACATACTTTGATATTTATTTGTATTTAAATACAATTTGTTGAAATTCTCACGGCCCTGAATAAACATTTTAAATGCATGTTTTCCTCCAGGAAAGCGAGGGTGGCACAAGCAGGAAGTGAGTGAGGGTGGTAAATGCTTGGCATCAGCCGAAGTCCACGGATAGAACCCGGGTACAATGGCATCAGTCTTTTTTATTTTAATTGTTTTTTTGCACTGCCACTGTCACTAACAGAAGTGCCTTGTCTGCAGCTCGGCCAGACTCAGACCTGGGGGAGCCTTATTGCAGGTCAGTGTTTGTGTTGGTCGTTGCTGCTGCCGCCGGCCCGGCAGGCGCTGGTGCTGCCGGCACTTCCCGGGAATGCTGCGCTTCCCACGGCCTTGCAGCAAATCCAGAGAGTTCCTAACCCTGGAGCTGAGAGGAGGTAGATGCTCAGAAACATGTTTTCATGAGCATCAGCCCTGGGACTTGGCATGAAACCATCACAAAACAGGTTTGAAGGGCAGTGGGGAGCGCGGCATCGCTGCAACCGGATCTGGAGCTGTAAGGAGGGAGGTTGGCAGCTGGTGGTGGGCAGGAAAGTGGGGCTTGGTGCCCAGCTTCCCTGAAGAGGAATTGGGCTGTTTCTTGCCTGCAGCACATAGTCCTGTCCTCTGAGGGGATCCTTGCTTCCCCTGTATTTCCAGCAGGTCCCTGGGAGCAAGGTGGGGTACCGAGGGCAATATTCACAATGTGGGCTTTTCCTCTGTGTTTCTGCTATTCTTGTGCCTGTGGTGACAGTCCCTCACTCGGGATGGGTACAGAATCATGCCTTCGCTGTGGGAACACAGAACATTCCCAAGCCCAAATTTCAGGACTCTGTATGAGCTACTGTTTGACACGCTACCACCTCACTTTTGCCTTGTACGAGCTCCAGCGCTGGTGGAGGGAGCACATGGGGGTAAGAGTGGGGATGGAGTCGGTGCTGGTACCCTGTATCCACTGCTTTGCATTCCCCAGGCACTGCCCAGGCCCTGCTCCTGGTGCAACAGGAATGTTGGAGATCTGCCTGGTCTCAGCAGTGAGGGCAGGAGACCTGCTGCCTGCAGGGGCCAGGACATGATCCCAAGGCTGAGGAATGGCCGAGGCTGGGCTGGAGTCACCCTGTTCCTGAGCCTCTTCTGACTGCGGGGCCCAGAGAGCCTGGTCTTTAATGAGCAGCACAAGTGTGAGTGGGGCTGGGTGGTGCTGGGCCGTGGTGCTGAGCCATGGCCATCACAGCCCGACCTCACTCTGCGATGCGAACAAATCCTGCATGGCCCTGCTTCGACCGGCGCTGCGTAGGGGGACAGACAGCTTTCGTGGCTGTGTCCATGAAAACTCCTACGTGTTTCTTCTGGAGCAGCCAGAGCTAATCGAGACCCTGCCAGTGAGAACGAGGGGTTTAAATTGTTCTTTCTCAGCATCCCGCCTCTGCACTTGTCCACGTTCCCCCCATGCTCGGCCTCTGCGGAGCTGGGGACAGATGGGAGGACGAGCTGGTGGGCCTTGGACTCTGTTTCCTGGGGGTTTCTCAGGCTTTACTGCAACCTCGATGTTTAAACCTAATGCCTTGTATTTATTCTAAAATGGCTTTCATCTGATTTCCCTCTCGGTTAACAATTTAGCTGTCACAATCAATAACGGCGAGGATCCATCCCCGGCCGCCATCAGCTCACGTTACCGTCCTGCAATTACCCGGCGGTGGCACCGCTGCCGGGGTTTTGCTGGGGAATTATCAGGTTACTAATGAAGCCCGGGCAGCGGCGGGCGGCCAGACGCCGCGGCGGTGGGCGCGATCTCCGCCGCCGCGACCCGCGGGGGGCTGCGGGGCCGTCCCGGACCGTGCGCCCCGTCGGGGCGGGCAGCGGCGGGGCAGCACCGGGACGCCCCGGGCGCGGCGGGCCGCCCGCCGCTGCCCGGGCTTCATTAGTAACCTGATAATTCCCC